CTTCAGCCCAATTAAGCACTGATACGCAATATGTCATTAAATAAATAGAAAGGAATTTTAAGTTGTATGCTTCTGAACAAGTGTGATCAATAAGAACAGGAGACATGGGTGGCACAGTCACCTAAGGAGCGGCAGTCCGCTGTGCAGAGTTGTTTCCCTTCGGCATGCCAGAAATATATAATTGTGGGTTTGAATCCTTGTTTGCCCCGAATATTTTTCTAGGTTGGTCAGCACCATACCCATGCTTGTGGGTTGCACCAAAGTATTGAACGTCTGAGACCTGCATCAGTTGGGGCTTTCCTCCCATATCTCTCTCACTCAATGAGAATTAACATGATGATGGTTATGTTTGACATTGAGTTCAGTTCTGAGCCACATATGGTATCTGATGTACAATACAAGGGACATTATTAAGTCAGCTATGAGAGCCACAGTGCTCTGAGTAACACAGCAAGTTCACCACACAGCCTCTGAACCAAGTCCATGCATCAGATACTGCAGACCATGAATGATGGATGGCGCAGTGATTACACAGTCCTACGTCCTTGCCCTTCCAGAAGGTCCTCGTTGTGAGTACACAATCCTACGTCCTTGTCCTTCCAGAAGGTCCTCATTGTGATTGCACAATCCTATGTCCTTGCCCTTCCAGAAGGTCCTTGTTGTGAGTACACAATCCTACATCCTTGCCCTTCCAGAAGGTCCTCGTTGTGATCACACAATCCTACATCCTTGCCCTTCCGGAAGGTCCTCGTTGTGATCACACAATCCTACATCCTTGCCCTTCCAGAATGTCCTCGTTGTGATCACACAATCCTACATCCTTGCCCTTCCAGAAGGTCCTCGTTGTGATCACACAATCCTACATCTTTGCCCTTCCGGAAGGTCCTCGTTGTGAGTACACAATCCTACATCCTGGCCCTTCCAGAAGGTCCTCGTTGTGAGTACACAATCCTACATCCTGGCCCTTCCAGAAGGTCCTCGTTGTGATCACACAATCCTACATCTTTGCCCTTCCGGAAGGTCCTCGTTGTGAGTACACAATCCTACATCCTGGCCCTTCCAGAAGGTCCTCGTTGTGAGTACACAATCCTACATCCTGGCCCTTCCAGAAGGTCCTTGTTGTGAGTACACAATCCTACATCCTGGCCCTTCCAGAAGGTCCTTGTTGTGAGTACACAATCCTACGTCCTTGCCGTTCCAGAAGGTCCTCGTTGTGAGTACACAATCCTAGTGACATTAAGCTGACACACTATGAAGTATTAAACTGAGATTCTTTGGAAGCATTAAACCCAACTCACTTCATTAATTCCTGACATTGTGTTGTTGAAACATATTTGGCCATTCAGTCTGGGAAGATCATTGATACATGGTAAGTTGACTCTTATATTGCTGCTGAAGAAACTGCTTTGTCATCATGATGATGGTCATGTGAAGAGAGACTGGCGCTTGAGGAGGGATTCAGACAATAACCCAGTGTGTACCCTCCAAGCCCTGATGACTGTGAAAGATAGAGACCAATCTCTGGAGTGTCATACGCAGCGTGTCAAAATTAACATAACAAATATCTTTTAAACCTGAAATTAACAATGTTACAAAAATATGTGTAATTCAGGTGTTTCATGTACCATACAAAACACATAAAAGGAAATGAAAGATTACAAAATGTTTATTCACAAAATACTGCTCATGCATCTTTAAACACATATACATGATTTGCACATGTTGCCATTGGTTGATGCAGCTGCATAATTTTCCTGTGTTCAGAGTGCGAAGTTAGTAGTAGCTACTTGATCACTCCTTCATGAATTGATTACCAGCTTACGTAATGACCAATATTTTTTATGTCTGCTGAGTCAGTCGTGACCCCAGTAGACTGTTGTACTCATGTCTACAGAGACAATTGTGACCCCAGTAGACTGTTGAACTCCTGTCTACTGAGTCAGTTGTGACCCCAGTAGACTGTTGTACTCCTGTCTACTGAGTCAGTCATGATCCCGGTAGACTGTTGTACTCCTGTCTACAGAGACAATTGTGACCCCAGTATACTGTTGTACTCCTGTCTACTGAGTCAGTTGTGACTCCAGTAGACTGTTGTACTCCTGTCTACTGAGTCAGTCATGATCCCGGTAGACTGTTGTACTCCTGTCTACAGAGACAATTGTGACCCCAGTATACTGTTGTACTCCTGTCTACTGAGTCAGTTGTGACTCCAGTAGACTGTTGTACTCCTGTCTACTGAGTCAGTCATGATCCCGGTAGACTGTTGTACTCCTGTCTACAGAGACAATTGTGACCCCAGTAGACTGTTGAAACACCTGTCTACTGAAGCTGTCATGATGTCAGTAGACATATGTAGACATATGTACTCCTGTCTACTGAAACTGTCATGATGCCAGTAGACTGTTGTACCCCTGTCTACTGAAACTGTCATGATGCCAGTAGACATATGTACACATATGTACTCCTGTCTACTGAAACTGTCATGATGCCAGTAGACTGTTGTACTCCTGTCTACTGAAACTGTCATGATGCCAGTAGACATATGTACTTCTGTCTACTGAAACTGTCATGATGCCAGTAGACTGTTGTACTCCTGTCTACTGAAACTGTCATGATGCCAGTAGACATATGTACTTCTGTCTACTGAAACTGTCATGATGCCAGTAGACATATGTACTTCTGTCTACTGAAAGTGTCATGATGCCAGTAGACTGTTGTACTTCTGTCTACTGAACCTGTCATGATGCCAGTGGACTGATGTAATCCTGTCTACTGAAGCTGTCATGATGCCAGTAGACATATGTACACATATGTACTCCTGTCTACTGAAAATGTCATGATGCCAGTAGACTGTTGTACTCCTGTCTACTGAAACTGTCATGATGCCAGTAGACTGTTGTACTTCTCTCTACTGAAACTGTCATGATGCCAGTAGACATATGTACTTCTGTCTACTGAACCTGTCACGATGCCAGTAGACATATGTACTTCTGTCTACTGAAACTGTCATGATGCCAGTAGACATATGTACTTCTGTCTACTGAAACTGTCATGATGCCAGTAGACATATGTACTTCTGTCTACTGAAACTGTCATGATGCCAGTAGACTGTTGTACTCCTGTCTACTGATACTGTCATGATGCCAGTAGACTGTTGTACTCCTGTCTACTGATACTGTCATGATGCCAGTAGACATATGTACTCCTGTACATTGCCATTCAAGAGAGCTTTGATAACATCAGGACATAACATGTCTCCTGTGTACAATCAATGCTCATTACTATTTCTCTGGGGAGCAGACGCTACAACCATCTGTGCAGACGTCCAATATGCCCTTGAATCTGGAATTAATTCGATTTCCCAACATTTATTGCTTTGTACAAAGTGACTGCAAAGCAAACATGTCAGTGTTACTGTAATAGGCGTGGAGATGGCACTCGCAGGGTCTTGTATGTTGCCGGTGACTTGAATCATGACATCCTGACCTCTCATTAGAGACGGTCCTGATCATGTTTCAAGTACTACACCTGTATATTCTTATCCATTAACAAGGAGGGCCATAGCTGTGTATACCCAGTTTCATCCATGTAATAATCATGCCCAGTGATAAAGATGCCTTTTAAGAATAACTTACATTATGTCAGTATATAATCCATTTTAGTCTTATGACAATATCATGACTAAGTCTTTGAAAGGCGTTTAGAAGTGATACGCGAGGAAGAGAAGGTATGGCTGTCTACTTCTTTAGAATGAGGAACACAACGTTTGGGAGTATATACTTACTTCATCAGGTGTAAGGAGTAAGTGTATACTCCGAAATGTTGCCTTCCTCATAATAAAGAAGTAGAAGTCCATAAATTCTCTTTCTAATATCATGATATTTCCACTTTTGTTACATTAGCATTGTGTGCTCACATTAACATTGTGTGCTCACAGTAACATTGTGTGCTCACAGTAACATTGTGTGTAACATTGTGTGCTTACAGTAACATTGTGTGTAACATTGTGTGCTCACAGTAACATTGTGTGCTCACATTAACATTGTGTGCTCACATTAACATTGTGTGCTCACAGTAACATTGTGTGTAACATTGTGTGCTTACAGTAACATTGTGTGTAACATTGTGTGCTCACAGTAACATTGTGTGCTCACAGTAACATTGTGTGCTCACATTAACATTGTGTGCTCACAGTAACATTGTGTGCTCACAGTAACATTGTGTGTAACATTGTGTGCTCACAGTAACATTGTGTGTAACATTGTGTGCTCACATTAACATTGTGTGTAACATTGTGTGCGCACATTAACATTGTGTGTAACATTGTGTGCGCACAGTAACATTGTGTGTAACATTGTGTGCTCACAGTAACATTGTGTGTAACATTGTGTGCTCACATTAACATTGTGTGTAACATTGTGTGCTCACATTAACATTGTGTGTAACATTGTGTGCGCACAGTAACATTGTGTGCTCACAGTAACATTGTGTGCTTACAGTAACATTGTGTGCTCACAGTAACATTGTGTGCTCACAGTAACATTGTGTGCTCACAGTAACATTGTGTGTAACATTGTGTGCTCACAGTAACATTGTGTGCTCACAGTAACATTGTGTGTAACATTGTGTGCGCACAGTAACATTGTGTGCTCACAGTAACATTGTGTGCTCACAGTAACATTGTGTGCTTACAGTAACATTGTGTGCTTACAGTAACATTGTGTGCTCACGGTAACATTGCGTGCTCACGGTAACATGTGCGCACAGTAACATTGTGTGCTTACAGTAACATTATGTGCTCACAGTAACATTGTGTGCTTACAGTAACATTGTGTGCTCACAGTAACATTGTGTGCTCACAGTAACATTGTGTGCTTACAGTAACATTGTGTGCTTACAGTAACATTGTGTGCTCACAATAACAGTGTCTTCATTATTACAGGAGTGACACTCATTCATTGAAGTATGACAGAAGTTAACATGAACCTGATCTGTTTCAGGTACTCTCTGCCGCTCCCTGCTACCGACCGACCGACCAGCCACTGACTGAAGCCTGCCTCCACACTCGATCCATCGTGTCTCTTGTTATAGCTGTGAGCGCGCTCAGTGACAGTGGAGGAGGGTGAGCTTGTCTACCTGCACACTGCCTCCACCTCGGCCTAATGTTTTGACAGTCTGTTGACGTGGGTTTGGATACGTACACAGACAGCCAGGGAAGACGAAGGGAGGCAGGCACCCGGATTAATACATTGGTGGATGTGGTGAGACGCTCAGCAACACCTAATTGGTGAGTTGGTATTTATGTCATACTTTAGCTGTCACAGCATCTGTGTGTGTTGTATTGTCAATGTGTGTCATGTACAGCTATGTGATATGAGATATATATCACAGCTTGGATAACTCACAGAGAGATGATTAGGGGTGGAATGCCTTGGACTAACTGTCAGTTATATAGTCATATGACCTTGTAGGCTACAGGCTGATTATCCAAGTTGAATGGTACTAAGGAGCTTAGCATCTCGTTTGAAGTTTATTTGCATTCAACTGAATCATTAGATAGGAAAACTCTCTGAGGCACATGCTGTTTGTGTGTGATTCCGTGGAGGCAGGTGGAGGTGTCAGTCAGTTTGATTGGATAATGTTGTTAGTTTCTTCACAAAGTAAATTGTATGTGCAATCTCCCTTAATGGAGGAGTGCTATGGAGAGGTAATAACAGAGGCAGTTATCTACACATAATCACGATATGCTGTACATTTTTACCTGGGACTGAAATTAGGGGCAATACCTCAATTCATTATGTGTAACTGGTGAGTCCGGTTTTTGATAACTCCGGTATTGACCCAGCTGTCCATTAGCACTTACCCTCCAACCAGTCACATTACGTCTCCCACCAGCATGTTATATAACTTCTCAGCATCCTTTCTTACAGAAAACACAGTCCATCCTTTATTTTCATGGCCGTCAGTGCAGGGGGTCCTTTAGAATAGAAACATTGTTTGTGTTATGTACATTATGAGTGAAATCTATGTATTAAGACATGGCTTTTTATGGCGTTGACATTTCTGTGGTCTTTGTGGCATGGTGTTGCTATTTGTTAAAGTTAATTACCTGACATTACATGCATGGTCCCTTCTGTTAGTATGAAGGATCTATGTTGTCTCACAGTTGGACTGGGATGTGTCGTTGAGAGGGCAGTGGAGCTAGTATTGACTTGTGTGGTCGTACAAATCCCTTCATGATGTGGTAATGCAGGTTTCTATTTCTGCTGTTATTTCAAACTTCCTCAACTGTCTTCATGGTTAAGTTCAAATGATGCTGAAGTATCACAAAGTGGAACATTTCATATATCATTTGTTATATGGAAGAGAAGTTAGAATCTTTATGGTCTTAAATACGGATGCAAGCTCCATAAATTGCCATTCATTCATGTCGTTTTGGTACATTAAACATATGTTTGTGATCCTTGCCAGGATCAAATATACAGGAAGATCTTGAGTGATGTATGCCAGTTTGATTTGTCAGTGCTGACTGAGGTTCAACAAGTGTTCTAATCACATACACCCCTAATTAGCAGATGGATCAATAAGTTTGTGACATAACCAGGTGTGTTGGGTGATGGTCCCGTCAGCAGTCCCACAGCTTGGTTTGACGAGACCCCATTCGCTGATAGCAGAACCGGTTTTAGGGGAAACGTCAAGGAGGCTTCTTTACAGTTCTCACATGGAGTAAATGTTTATTGTCAATGGATCTCATGGTTGATCGACCACAGTTTCTCTATAGCATTAAGTAACCCAGGCACTGAGGAGCTGGAAGCAGGGTTGATCTTCAGCGAAGACATCGCATGTGAGCTAGCGCACACGAGACATCACACATACACCCATCTGACTTAAACTGTGTGACATGTGCATGTCGGAGGCTTCCGCTTAAACACTGACTAACTCGGCTGACAATTTTATCCAGTTTGCGTGAAGGTATGTAAAAGTTTGCATAAATATTATGTGATCCTTTTGGCGTTTAACTCATATCAAAAGCGTTGCTTATCAGCAGGAACATACAAAGTGTAATATGAGAATGATTGAGGAAAAAATATTTATTTAAACAAATATTTTTTATTTGAAAAATATCTAAAAATATATTTACCAGGATTTAGAGCTAAATAGAATCATTTACTAATTTAGAGCATAAAGGCTGACATTTCACAAACTGGCTTGTGTGTTCCCATGACACTCAGGTAGCAATGAAGTCTACAAATGTCTTGTCTTAGAGTGTGATAAAAATATCTGTGTGAGAAATTTCCTCTTTGATGGAACTCCTCAAAAAGTAGGTGTGGGTTTCAAGTGGGTGTTACCTCAATATTTGGAATGAGAAAGTGGAAATGTATAACAAGGTCCACCTTCAGGATCAGGGTATATGACGAGGACCGGCGACTGGCGTAACAAGCAGCTTGTTTGATAAAGGTGTGTTGTGAAGCTGAGCGCTGTACTCATTAGCTGTGAGGGAGGGTGTTGCACGCTGCATTGTTTTCTCACAGAATCTGCACTGGGGGAGGTGACCAAGCAGGGAAGGTTAACACTTTTTGTGCTAGAAGTGGTGGAGGTCAGTTTATAACAGTTTTTATGTACTAGGTGCGTCTGAATTGCTCTGAACTTTATTTACACTCAAGTCACTTGTAGCAACATGAGAGGTACATTTCAAGGATTGATTATACAAACATGTATGTACATAAAACAGTGTTTAAAATACCTGCCTCACAGTCTGAGATGGGCTATTTTGATGACGGATGGTCAGTTTTGAAAAAGCTGCATGCCGGATGGTCAGGGGAAAAGGTACTAAGTTGGCAATCCACCAGTTTAGTGTTATTTTCTGAGAACTACCATTAAACAGTACTATCTTATGTTTACCCTTTGTTACTTGTGTTCGTTTGCCTAGAAAATTCTGGACTGGCAATATTTTATCTGGTCTGGTAACTTTGCAATGTTGCTAGTCCAGTTGTCTGATTGAAATTTTGGGGAATTTTATACACTGACATAAAACCAATATTACAATCTCATTCACATCTTTTGTCAGATGAGGTAAAAACATTTCTACTCCTTCCAGGTTTGAACTTATTTAACACTACATCGGTAATTTTCTTACGGTTCTTAATCTCTGGTATTAAAAAGCAACTACGTTTTAATTCAGAGGTTAAAGACATGATGTTTTCACTCTTTCACTGCCAAAAGAATTTGAGCTATGTGAGTTTTTGAATATGAACAACTGTTTTGGTTAGAGGATTGGTAAAAAATCAAAACTGCTGAGGCAAGTAGGTAATTGGTTAACTCTTTCACTGACATGGTTATTTGAGGAAACCAGCAGGTTAACTCTTTCACTGACATGGTTATTTGAGGTAACTAACTGGTTAACTCTTTTACTGACATGGTTATTTGAGGTAACTGACTGGTTAACTCTTTCACTGACATGGTTAATTTTGGTAACTGACTGGTTAACTCTTTCACTGACATGGTTAATTTTGGTAACTGACTGGTTAACTCTTTCACTGACATGGTTAATTTTGGTAACTGACTGGTTAACTCTTTCACTGACATAGTTAATTGAGGTAACTGGCAGGTTAACACTTACACTGACATGGTGTTTTGAGGAAACCAACAGGTTAACTCTTTCACTGACATGGTTAGTTGAAGTAACTGGCATGGTTGATTGAGCTGACAGGTTAACTCTTTCTCTGACATGGTTAATTGAGGTAACTGACATGGTTAACTCTTTCACTGACATGGTTAATTGAGGAAACTGACATGGTTAATTATTTTACTTATGTTGGTGTTCAATGTGACTGACATGTAACACATTCTCTGACATAGTTTGTAATATAAGGAATGTTACCATTTGTACAGACAAGGGTGTATGTGATAACTGACAGGTTAACACTTTCTCTGACAGGTGTATATTGAGATAAATGACATGTGAACTTAAACTCACATGTATTCAATGTTTGGGACATGTCAATTCTTTTACTTACATTAGCAATGAGGTAACTGATACTTCATGTTCAACAAGTTGTTTTTTTCTGTTTCAAGGTTGACTTATTAGGTACCGCAAATGTTAACAGGTTGTGCATTCAAATCTTGTGAATTTTATAATCATAGCAAGCATGTTCTGATTGTATTTGACAATTTCAGGAAGTTGAAGTATATCCACTGTTTTCCTATGATTATCATGAGTTAATCCCTCATGGCTGGTGGGTGGTGGAACACACAGCCTTCCAGTTGTGGGTGTTCCCTAACTTGTTTTGAGTAGTATATTAATGTATGTGTGTAACAGCAGGGTGAGACAGGTAGACTCAAGTGCACCTTCCAGCCGGCAGGTTCTCATGTTGACAGATGAGACCGTGACCCACTCGGTGCCTCGTGTTGGAGCAAGGTGTGACAACTTGGTTGCAAGAAACAAATCATTGTAATAAAAGCCTGTAGTCTTGTATTTGGCAGTGGGAGATTATAATTTGTCACCTTGCAGAGGATTTAGAAACAATTCAGTGACAATTGTGTGATAACTGTCTTGTGTACAGATTGGCACTAGTGCTAACAGACGAATAATGGAACCTTATCACAGTGGAAATCAAAGTATGAGTGTTTGGAAGGACGTTTAGATGTATTCATTGTTGTCCTTCATTGTGGGGGGATGCTGTAACCCTAATCACTCACTCACTCATTTATTTATTCTGTTAAGAAACAGGATAACACATGAGGTTCTTTAGTTTCACAACGAAGTACTGAATTTAATTTAAATAATATATGATCAACATACTACTAATAAGAAGAATATGAATAACAATAATGTGCATAAATTTTTTGTAAATTTTGAAGTTACACACTGTTACAAGTAATGGTTTCTTATGAATTCTTATAATTGTATGCAATGAAAAAGGGTGAATAAAATTTATTAGCCAAACCAAAAACCTTTGACACATTGGATGGGCCCAGAGGCTGAAACCAGCGACTCTTGACTCTCTTTGAAGTCTTTGATGATCCTACATTGGAAATGTTTTTAGGAAATGTGCTGGAAATGTCAGTTAGCCCTTTGAAAGATGCATTAGTCAGCATGTGTGGGGTGTACGGGGGGAGGAGGGGGTGCAATCATTAAAGACCTATTCAGTGCTCCGTCCATTACAGGCATTTGAAGAAGGTGGTCGGTCGTCTCCTTCCCCTCACTGGTTTTACAACTCTTTAGGGCTATGCATTTAGTGGTGCCTCAGTTTAATATCCCACCATATCCTCCCAGTTCCTCCAAGT